CTCATGGCATATTTTCATTATCTGACGGGGAGAATGTGTTTACAACCTGGCTTTGTTCAGAAGAAAGGAGGAGGTCATCTCTCAACACAGCGGATGGAGAGAGAGTGAGGAAACAGGCGCCATCTTATCTCCTTACACCTGCCTGTAGACAGAGAAACTTCAACTGAGGAGGAATAGAAGTAGTCTAGTGGAAAACCTATCACAAGGCATATTATAGTCCTACCAGCTACCCTTTTCTTTGTGTTACATCAGGTGGATTTGCAATTCATACTAATTATATTCCAAAAACCCACCTATACCTACTTAACGGGAATCAGCTTTTTCGATCCAACCGTTACCTGAAACTGTGTCCTACTACCTCTCCTTCTCATGCCTCCATGCTAATCATTACTCATAAAAACAGGTACCCATTCTTTCATTCGTACATCCGTCTAATACCGGCCTAAATGGACAACTTCATCCCCCACGTTCCCCCAATTATTGAGTCAATTTATCCCCTATTTCATCAGTTCATCAAGATGTAGCTACCGTCACCTACATACAGATAACTCTTGTGTCTAATACAATGCATTTACTTAAAGTGGACCTATCATGCTATATTTGAATAATATAGTGTAGGACCATACCTATATAAGGCATATTTATACTTTTTTTTTTCAAAATACCAAACAGATCATGCATTTTAGCCATGCCTCATTTCGCTCAATTTGCACTATTGTAACCCTGTTTTTGCAAGGGCTGATTCAGTGAGAACAGCACCATCTACAGGCCTGGCATATGTACTACAGCGTCTCCAGCGCTTTCAAACGGCAATGGCCGTGGCTGTTTCCTCCTGATTGGTGGAGTTGGCCCAATAGCCGTAGTGCCACTGTCCTGACGTCAGGACAGTGTTCAAATCTGGATCAGTTTTTATCAGATCCGTTGCAGCCCCTTTTTTAGAGATTTGGGTATGGAGGAAAATAGAGAGGGTTGTGTTTTCTGACACTTGGTGAGTTCCCTGGAACACCGGGGACACATATTCATGTATAAAAGACTTACAACAGTGAATTTTGCATGATAGGTCCCCTTTAAGTAAAATATAGTCCTTAGTCAAATAAATTCACTAAAATCACCAAGAGATGCTGGTCTAAAGATGTGTTCATACTAAAAGTGAAGCACATTTTAGAGGCAATTTCCCTCTTTAATAACAATGACAATATGTATTACTGAGGGGGCACAGAATACACCTAATATCAGGTTAATGTTGGCTAGACAAGCTTCCTACAAGTAACATCCATTCACCATCACTGACCTGGTTGAGCTTACATCTGGCAGAGCCATGGATCTAGTTATGGGGGACATAAACTTGATTTAACTGGATTATTTGTAAGCATTTCCGTTGAAACAGGTGTATTTTTTCAATACAGTCGATACAGTAGTTTTGTACATTGCTTGCAGCAGCTCTTAGCCTTAAACTGATTACAGGTCAGGTCTTACATTAAGGGTCCAGATTGGAATGGATTTAGAGATAATGAAAGATAACGGACCAGTTTACGTTGAGTTTTGTGGGTGCAGGTCGATGGTTTTTGCAAATGTGACCCGTGCTAGACTCTGGTCCGGTGATACAGAAAGTAAACCCAACTGTAGAGGCAAAACTGGAGGTCTGTTTTCGTTGTGAACAATCGGAGCGTAGTCTGTGGTTCTTATCCGTCTGTCATCTTCTGCCTTCAGCCTGCATTTTGAAAGCACTGACCAGCTCTCAGAGAAAACAAAGTGGCGTCTCAATCTCAAGTCAAGTCTGTCCAAGTGTAAATTTGCTCCTAGTCAGAGCCGTCGGTGTGTGTTTGAATAAGAATTTGATTAATTGAAGAGCAGTTTGGCAGAAGACTAGAAAGGCGCAATGCAAGTCAATTTATAATCAAGCCGGAGCAGGTTGATAGAATGGAAGCACATGAAGACCAAAGTACATGACACATGGCTGTTTAGGATAATACAAGAACTCATGGATATTTCCCTATGTTTGCAATAAGAGGTGGTCTAAGCAGGCCTGAATTGCAGTTGTACGCCAAAATGAGCACCACTATGATGCCTCTCCTCCCATCTGAGTGCAAAAATGTCCTGCCGGCAGAGAGGGCAAAAGTCCACACATCCTTTCCTCAAGTAGAAGTACAGATACTCGTGTTTAAAAATACTCTGGTGAAAGTAGAAGTACTGACTAAACTTCTTTACTCAAGTAAAAGTAAAGAGGGCTTTGAAATGTACTTCAGTAAAAAGTACCCATAACTAGCAGCTGTTTTAAAGAGTACCTGACCTCCCTTTATATTAATAGAACAATAATGTCATTGTTAGCTAATGAATGTTTCCATGCTGAACAACGGCAACATGACAACGTTTTCATTGGTCCCTCTTCTTTAGAGAAGACCAGGAAATGATGGATACACGGATCGTGTTCAAATCAATAGGCACGCAATGACTCTAAATAATAATGATCACGCCACCAAACACACATTCAAACTAAAGGAACCAGCCTGTTTGGAAAATGTAAGAAGTAGAAAGTACAGGTATTTGTGTTCAACATGTAAGAAGTAGAAAGTACAGGTATTTGGGTTCAAAATGTAAGAAGTCAAAGTAACAAGTTAGAAAAACAAGTAGTGGAGTAAAGTACTGATACCAGAAAGATGTACTTAAAGGTGGGGTAGGTAAGTTTGAGAAACCGGCTCGAGATACACTTTTTGTTATATTCCATGGAATGCTCTTAACATCCCGATAGCAATGAATATCTTAAGTGCTTTGACAAAAAATCCATTAAAATATGTCATCTGTGGAAGCCGTAGTACTGTAAAAAGCGCGACCAATCATTTTAGCCGGCCCGGCTAAAATAACTGGATGGCCTACCTGCCTGTAAGTAGCAGATTTTTTCCGGCTGTGTATTTTCAAATTCTGGCGCACTCAAGCTGGTTTCTCCAAAATTACCTACCCCACCTTTAAGTACAGTATTAAAGTATTTGTACTCCACTGCTTCCTACCTCTGCCTACCGGGATATTACCCAACTATACACTTGCACATATTCCTAATCCAGAATTCCCAATTGGTCATTATCTGGTAGGATGTTAATGAGAGAAAATAGAGCAAACACAGACAGTTATGTCTGCCAAAACCAGGTTGGAAATGCGTGTCATGTTTTCATTCAGTACCTGGACGAAAGTCATAACTTCAAATTTAGCACAGAATCATGTTTTTACCTATTTATTTCCGAGCACTGAACTCGTGTTGAGATGTCGTTTGCTCAAGCAATAAGTACTGAAGAAATACCATGTTTTATTCTGAAATGAATTTTCTCTTTGAGTCCTCTCTTGTTTGACTTCCTGTCTTTGTGATTTTCCCGCCTTTGTACCTGTTTGCCCTGATTCTTTGTACCTGTGTGATCTTGTGTCCTTACCTTCCCTCTGCAACTGTCTTCTCAATGTAATTAATCCTGTGTTATGTATACCTGTCTTTGTACCAGTCCATGTCTTGCCCAGTCTTGTTCAGCTTTCCGTGGTTCCAGTTTATTCCTTATTGTCTCCTTGTTGATTTGCTGCTCCCTTTTTCTTTGAGTCATCCTGGTTTTGTTTTGTTACTTTCCTTTTGTTTTACCTCACCTCCTCCAGTTTTCATTTTTGTTGTACAAGCTTTAATCTATTAAATCTCGCTTTTTCATTTTTACTTTTATCCCCTCTTTATACTGCTTTTGGGCCCTGCCTTCCTTACCCTAGTGACAGTACTTTTAAAAACCGGTTATGAAAGACTCTGCACACTCCTGAGACAAACACCTGCAGTTTTGATATTGTTTTTACAGAGAGTAAGATGCTTTTTGAGACAGTTCCCCAGCAGAATGATTCCTCTAAGAAGCCTTTTAATGTATTGGATGTCTCAGAGCGTTTTCGTCTGTAGCTCACGCTTGCCAATTTCTCTAATAGATCTTAACAATTGAGCATCAGCACAACATTGATATAGTGCATCTCAGAGTGTCATATGTGTGAATTATGGATGCATAATCATCCACTACAAGTTTAAATTATCATTAGGCTCAGTCAAACGATCAATGCCTATGATGTGTCCTTTTTTCGCATTACTAATGTGTTCCCTAAACATTGCATTAAAGGTCCCCTATTATACTGTTTCTCATCAATATATTACAGGTCTCAGATCTATACAGAACCTGTCTCTGATTGGCTGAAACACCAAACAGATCATTGCATCATCCCATAATCCCCTCTGTTTCAGCCCTGTTTCCAAAGTGCTGATTCTCTGTCTGTTACTTTAGATGAAAATAAGGAGCCCCTCCCCACGCCCCTCTGAGAGATATTTGGTTAGAAAGAACACAATGGTGCTCTAGGAGGAGATCCAGGTGATAAGGTGGGGGGGGGGGGGGGGGGTTACCTTGGTTGGTGATTGGCTAATGGTTACACAAGCCAAAACATCGTTATGACATCATAAAGTGGCCAAAATCTGATCAGCTCATTTTCAGACAGGTTTTTATACCTAACTTTCAGTCTCTTTACACAGAGGGGACACATGTTGATGTAGAAGAGACATGAAGAAGAGGGGACACATGTTGATGTAGAAGAGACATGAAGAAGAGGGGACACATGTTGATGTAGAAGAGACATGGAGAAGAGGGGACACATGTTGATGTAGAAGAGACATGAAGAAGAGGGGACACATGTTGATGTAGAAGAGACATGAAGAAGAGGGGACACATGTTGATGTAGAAGAGACATGAAGAAGAGGGGACACATGTTGATGTAGAAGAGACATGGAGAAGAGGGGACACATGTTGATGTAGAAGAGACATGAAGAAGAGGGGACACATGTTGATGTAGAAGAGACATGAAGAAGAGGGGACACATGTTGATGTAGAAGAGACATGAAGAAGAGGGGACACATGTTGATGTAGAAGAGACATGAAAAAGTGGATTTTGCATAATAGGTGACCTTTAAGTAAACATGTTTCTGCTGTGATTGTGCTCTGTTGTAGGTTTGTATCTGACAGAACCCAGATGTCTCCGGGGTGTCGCTCCTCTCCTGCGACTCCAGGGTCTCCCCCGTCGGAGATGTCAGCCCCTCTCTCCAGCCTCGCCATCTCCGTCCCCTCGGTGGCTCTAAGCCCCTCAGGTGAGGAGGAGCGCCCCCTGCTGTTATCTAACAAACGTCAGTCCATGAGCCGAGATGAACAGAAGAGGAACTCTGCGCATTACAACCACGGCCACGAGGCACACAGCTTACCACCGAGTCCTCTGCTCACTATGGAGAACGGTTACTACCAAGTCATAGGAGAGCATGACGCCACAGCTGTCGGCCATTTGTTCTCAGCGTCACCTGAGGACAAAACAAACAACAACAACGACAGCTGTGGCACCAAAAGAGCGGCTGATGGCCATGTGCTGCGTAATGTGGAGTCCAGTGGGGACAGCATGCTAGTGATCGATTCTGAGGAGGAACACACACCCTTCTTCACCACCAATAGCACTACGGCCCTGTTGCTCAGGGCGATGGACAGCAGCAGGACTAACCCAGCATTACCAAATGATGACCTGCTAGAAAAGCCGTCCAGTTTCACCGTCAAACCAGATCCAGTTGCTGTACAAGGTTAAAAGAAATGCTGTTGAGGGTAAAAAAAAAAGGAAAAAGTCACTATTAAACCTTTATTTTCTATACATTATTTGCTGTGTAAAGACTTTTAAAGATAAATGAAACTTTTATTTTAGTGATGTAGTAAATAAAGAGTTTTATAACAAAAAAAAAACGTACACATTTCTCGTAGGTGATGTGCCATACACTAGTATGTAGCAACAGTTGACAGTATATTTCAGTGCAGAAAAAATATCAATGGTGCCTTTCTGTTTAGTATGCTTAAAGGGAACTGCAGCATTGCATACTGGGCCATATATATTCATCATCTTAATCTCCAGTTATCAATCAAGAGTAAAATCGCTGGCTGCTTTTAACGTGCTGCAGATGGACTGACACCACAGATTTTTTTGATTTGACGTTTTCTACGAGGTGCATGTTACTTCCTTAAATGCTGTGATGGAATAATGATGGCTTCCCTTTGACCTGATACTGAACTCCAACACCTGAACTGATGTTAATGAATGAATGAATGATTAATCAGCTCATTACCTGCATTTGATGAGAGATTGAAAAGATGGGTTTTATTTCCTGCTGATTATTTACAACTGTTAGAAAAAGGTGCAATCACTAAAGTCTGGTTCTGTAGTGTTACTAATACTGTCACTTATATTCCTAACATAACCCAGTAGATTTTACTTTTTTGTTGAATGTTATATTAGGGTTTGATCTGCGCATTTCAAGTTTACTATTATGTTAAAGGGTACTGCACTGGTCGAGTAAAAGATACAAAAACACAGAAATAATGGTTATTTCCACACCAAATAAATACAGTGGTGCAGTGATGACCTGGAAGTTAGCATCACATATAGGGCTTCCTCCACAATGCATTGGGATTTTTCCATTGGATTTTGGTATATTGCAGAAAAATAAGCTCTGTGGCAAACACACGTTTTGTTCAGCAGGATAATCTCCACATATTAACCCCACTTTGGGATCGAAGTGTAAATGCTAACTAAAAAGCTAATGCTAGGCTAATGTCGTCGGGATGTTTTCGAAGTGTAAATGCTAACTAAAAAGCTAATGCTAGGCTAATGTCGTCGGGATGTTTTCGAAGTGTAAATGCTAACTAAAAAGCTAATGCTAGGCTAATGTCGTCGGGATTTTTTCGAAGTGTAAATGCTAACTAAAAAGCTAATGCTAGGCTAATACCGAACGACAACATGGTGGCGCACTACCATCGCTAAGCTAATGGCGGCTAACGTTTGGCATGTTTAGTAGTCTCTTTTAGCCAATTTTTGTGACAAATCAAAACTTTGGACATTTAAGGAGTGCAGTATTTACTGGCATATTGGATGTCGTAGAACAAAATGTGAACATCTCTTTTACCACAGATCTTATTTCAGTCACAATACCACAAACATTTTCGAAAAACCGTCGACTTAAATGTATTCTCTGGGTGTGAGGACTTGTTTCTGCACCACTCTATACCCTGACTTTAATCCAGAGTATGAGCCATGGTCATTTGTGCATCCTACATTTCGCCAAACGCTTGATAGTATCTCCATGCTGGCTGGTCCCCATATCTTCACAGAGCGTCTCAGATCAGATGGTGCCTTCAAAAGAAAAAAACTACTGGAAATAAGGCCAGCCATGCTATATTTCTTAAAGAGACAACTCCAGATACGTGTGCCTTTCATCACCAGTAGGATATTATCGATTGCATCTTTAAATGCAACAATATCTGCAAAGTGTGCACTGAATGGAAGACAGGATATAGCCTGAAGACATCCATGTGTTTCTGAGTAATGCATTTGGGCGACTGCTAAATATACAAATCATGGTTTACTGCTTTAATTGTCTCTGTTATGATAGGCATTTGTTTTCCTAAATTCAACTTAGATTATAATTATATTTTGAACCCCAAGCTTGTGTTCAAATGTGCAATGGTGTCCTTATCATATACGACATTATTAACAACACAATGCCTGCTAACAAGAACATAGTTTATAAGAATCTGCTAAAGATTTACACAAAAAACGTACAATTATCAGGCTCTGTAACCATGGTTTGTTAAACTGTATTCATGTAGATCGGCAGTCAGTAGCATATGAGAACGTATGATGACAGAGACGTGCTGCTAAGTGTTTTAATGCCATGCTCCTGTGTTTTTATTTTGCATTAAGATTGTTTATTATTTATTTATTGATTCATGCTCATTGAAAGCGTTAATTACTTGTTTAAGTTTATGCATTTGTATTTAAAATATGAAGCCATCCGTCACATGGTCATCAATATGAAATGAAATTAACTTATTTGCATTTTTTGTCACGTGTATGCTTTACATAACTCAACGCATTGCTTTTAGGTTTAGGACTGTCTTCGAACGATGTAAATACACCATGAAAACCTTCTGCGCTGTTGTTTCTTATTAAAAATATTAAATCAGCTCTGTGTTTTGCCTCGCAGTGTCAACGTTTCTGGTTAGAAATATTCTGATGTTATTTATTGTAGAACATTTGAAAAAAAAAAGGATTGTGTGAAAATTATGTTTGTCTTTTAACCTATTTCTATTCAAGGTAATATATCATACACAATAATAACACATACAAAATTAACCCATTTTGAAAAAAGGCATATAGTTACTTTTTGAGGCCCTATTATGCTTTTGGGGTTTTCCCTTTCCTTTCTTTTTGTGGTTGTAAATGGATGTGTGCATGTAAATGGTCTACAAAGGTTGAAATCCCTGTGTGTCCAGAGGGAGTTTCTCTCCCGCACACTTTGTTTACTTCCGTAACATAGTGACATCACTACGTAATACTCACACTTCTATTGGCTAGCACTCCAACACATTGTAGGTGATAAGCTAAGGGGCGGGACACCTCTAAGCGGTTGACGAATCACAGCAGAGCCAGCCAGCTAACCAATCAGAGCACACTGGGCTCTGGTTTCAGACAGAGGGTGAAATTAGGTGCTGCAGCACAGGCAGTATGAGACACATAAAGAGCTTTTTGAACATTAAAGCATGGAGACATGTCACATAGAGACACTAAAAACTCCTGGATATGATGTTTTGTTTTTATTACGAATGGAGAATGTCGTTTCGTGAAGTGAAAGGTTGGACAGAACCACAGGACGTTATGTTAACTAATCACTTGTGGGGTTTTTCCATTACTTTCGTTTGATATGTCTCCGGATGTCTCAACAGTGGATTCTGGCGTCCCAGAACAGTCTTTAGTGTAGAGGACGGGGGTCCAGGGCCATATGTGTCCTGTGTCAGGCTTTGTATATGTGTTGTTAAAGCCTTCAATAGCATTGTTTGGTTTTGGCAGCGGTGTCTACCATTTATGCCCTGATAGGTGGAAGATGGAGGCAGGAGCCAATTTGAAATGACGCTACATTCAGGGGGTCGGACCGGATCTAGCATCTGTAAAGTATCCTTCATCTGTTTGCATCTTGCAAATTATTGATCTAATATATCATATTCCATTTCCTTGTATATAGACTCTTCTTGCACTATTTCTAATTTATTTGTTTTTACTTGCACATCTCAAAACATTCTCTTGCACTATTGTATCTGTTTGATTTGTTTTATGTCCTATATATATTCACGTTGCACTGTTGGAGGAGCCTGTGACCTAAGTTTTTCATTGCCATATCTACACTAATGTGCAAATGACAATAAAGCCTTGAATCTTGAATCTTGAATCTTGAAGGATTGGATGAATTCATCCATTAAATAGTCATGTGGGGTAAGGGTTTCATACACGTGATGATCTGCTGTTACATTGGGTAACTTTTATTCAATTTTATTTTATGTTTTTATTGTGTTTTTATTGTGTATTTAACTTTTTAGCACTTCTTAACACGTGGCTTGTGTGGTCATTTAATCTTTTATAATTCGTACGATGTTTTAATGCTTTGTCAAGCACTTTGTGACTATGTCTGGGAAAACCACTTTATAAATACATTTTACTTGCTTACTTTACACTAAAATACCAGTAACTATATAGGTCTACTGCAGGCCAGGGATGGGCAACTTTGATGGTGGTGGGGGCCACATAAGTTATGTACTGGCCACCAGGGGGCCGCAGATTCACTTTGAACACACACACACACACACAAATTCCATGTGTTGTATGTAATTATTAACAAATATACTAAGTCTGACATCTTCATTGACATTTTACAATCTTTCAGGGAACATCCTCTAATAAGCTCACTAAACAAATATCAGTTCACAGAAATGTTATTTAATTTTGACAAGTGGCATGTTTGTATTGAACAGGTTATTTAACAGTGGAATACAACTTTTTTAAACTATTGGAAAGCACGGAAATTGTGTGTGCATTGAGATGAACCATTAAGATGACATAAACATGAAGTCATGAACACTAACCCAGACAT